GGTGAAGCCACCCAGGGGAGCTGTGCCCACCCTCACGACAAAGCTGGAGACCGTGGGCACTGAGGACACACACCCTTCTCTCCTTTCCTGCCTAACCCAGCCCCCAGGTGGTCCTTCCCAAGGCTTGAGATAGTCTCAGGGGATAGGAGGAGGACACCTGGGTGGTCATTCTCCAACTGGACTAAACCTGCAGGGACAGCTGAGGGGCAGTCATCGCGATGACAGAGCCAAAGCTCTGGCGTGGCCCCAAGGGCTCAAGCTTGGGCTTGGGGGTGTCACAAAGGCTTTTCCTGCGACATCAAGGTCACCTCAGGTGTGAGAGTGCTAAGCCACCCTCTACTGAGTGCCCGGCCCAGCCGGGAGTCTGGCCACATGTTCCCATCCATGGTGTGAACACACTGTTACTTCCTGCAGCAGCCCTGTGTCCTGGAGGCCTGCGTGTCCCCATGTCACTGATGAGAAAGGCGGAGTACGAGAAGCTGGACAAACCACCCAGGTCAGAGAGAGGGTGAAGCAGGAGGGGAGCTCTCCCCGGGGACAGGCTAGGGTTGAGGGTGTCAGGGTGGGTGGCTGGGGCGGGGCCCAAGTGGCCATTCCTCACAAGTCTCATCAGTGACAGGGCAGGGTGCTGTCGGGGGCTTCTGAGGGGTGACGGGGCCGGCCTGCTGCCCCTCCCAGCCCCCACACTCCCCTGCCTGCCCAGCTGCAGCCGCACCCCTGTGAACCTGCGCCCTCTGGAGAATCCCAGCCCAGGCAACCTGCAGGCTCCTGCTGCACTGTGTGGCAGATGGCCACCACTGCCCTGCACCAAGCCTCACCAGCCTGGGTCGGACGGAAACAGGGCCACTTCCCCTGGCGCCTCTGCATCCCTGCCCTCTCTCCTGCTGGCTCTGAGAGCTACCTGAAGCCCTGCTACTTCCTGCCTGAAATGCCTGCTGTTCATAGGTGTGTGGGTTTCATCCCAGCCCAGTGAACCTGGCTCCAAAACCCAGGCCTCACCAGGTGGAAGGGAAGCGTGGTGACCGCAGAATACTCGAGGAGGAGCCTGGATTCCCACTCAGGCAGCTGAGCGAGCCCAGGAAAAGTCTGGGCTGAGGCATTCATCAGCTCTGGCTGGATCCAGAGCAGCCTGGTCCCCAAACTCAGCGCCTGCTCTTGAGTACCCTAGGCCTGGCCTAACTGTGCTTCTGTAGGTAGCAAGGGCAGCCCTGCACCCACTTCCAAGGCCAGGGCCAGCAGGGCTCAGGGACAGGCAGGAAGTGGAGCTGGGTGAAGGGCCCCAGTTTCTGGCCACTCTGGTGACCTGGGGCAAGGTGCCCAGCTTTCTGCCTCTCACCTCCTCGTCTATGGAAAGGGGTGATGAAGGTGCCCTCACGAAGAAGCAGAGATGGCCGCTAGAGTGACCTCGGAGTCCTGCTCTCCACTGCCTGGGTGCCCGAGGGACTCCTCCCAGGGGCCAGGCATGTAGTGAAAGATCCAGGAACAGGTGCCGAGAGGTGGGCTGCTGGTGCTCAGAGCAGACCAGGCTGGACTAGAACCCAGCTCCTTGGACTCAAATTCCAGTGCTCCTCCCAGTACCTGAATGTCCTAGAACTTGGAGTTCAAATGCCTGCTGTTCTCCAGAGCCCCAGGGAGGCCCCCCCGTGGTGTCCTGAGGTCTTCCCTCAGGCCCCAGACTCCCTGGAGCCCTGCTGGCCTCCTTGTGTGCTCCAGGGATGGCTGGGAAGGAGCTCCCTGCCCTCCCCACAGCCTCTACCCAAGCAGGCTGCAGTCAGCAGCCAAACTGCCCTGAAAGGCAGACACGCAGACACACCCCCGCCTTACTTGTGCCGAAAACATTCATTATGCGTTTTAGAGGACAAGGCCAAAAAGAAAACACTCATTAGAAAGAGAAATCATTTCCAAATAAGCCATCCAGAATCGGCTGGGATTCTGGCCTGAAACAGGGACCTGTTCTCCAGGGTGGAGGATCAGGGGAGATGGGCAGAAGGACGTAGCGGGTGGCAAGCCCAGGGCTGCGGTGCCCACCCGGCCTCATGGGGAAACCCCAAGCAGGAGGAGTCTTCCTCTCCGGTGCTTCCTTGCCCCCTGGCGCCATCTCTGGCCCAGTGGCTACAGCAAAGGCCGTATCAGGTGGTGGCTGCGGCCCTGCTCTGTCCGACTTCTTACAGCAGGGTGGCCCTGGGCCTGCCCCTGCTCTCCCTGGGCCTCCATGACCCACCAAGAACATGTGATGGCCGGACCCTGACAGAGTGACAAAGAGAGCCCCCGCGAGGTAGAGCCTGCTGCCCACCAAGGTGGCCGCCTCTGGGTCACAGCTGGGCTGGCCCTGGGGCCCAGGCCCTGGTCAGCTGGAGATGCTGCTGTGGGCAGAGTGGCACCTCTGAGCTGTCCAGCATATCCTCAAGGGTCATGGCAGTGACCTCAGGCACCCGCAGGCCACCCAGGCTCAGGACCGACACCAAGTGCTGCTCCCTAACAGGATGTGTATTAGAACGAGCAGACAGGCTCGGGACGCGGGGATGGCAGACAGAGACAGGCAGAGCACCAGCACCGTTTCCTCAACGACAGCTGGCACTTGTCCTCCTCCAGAGTCTTGGCACTGATCCTGCGTCCCCAGGGCTCTGTGCTGGGCTTGCATCTGGGAAGGGGCCTCAGGGATGCGGAGAGCTGGGGGGCAGGGGCCGGTGGGGTGGGGGCCGCTGCAGGTGGAAGCCTCCTTTACCTCCTTTCTAGAAGGTGCTGCAGGTGGGCAGGCAGTGGGCAGTGAGGGTGTGGCCAGCCCAGCCCCCTTTGCTCCCACCGACCCTGTCCGTGGTCACTGCCGTCAGAGACAAACTTGGGCCAGTTTTGTTCTGGGCAGGTGTCCCAGGCTTCTCTCCTGTTTGATGTCAGAGCGGTGAAACCTGACCATGCCGTTATCACCCTGGTGTTGTAATCAGCACTGGAACAAACTTCCCTGAGTTTTGCCGGCTGCCATCAGCTCCTGGCTCCACTGAGCTATGTGCACAGCACGCCTCGCTTTGCCCTCGGCTCCTTAACCTCCTCTTCCTTGGGCTGGTGGGGGACAGGGCCCCACACCTGCACACATTCATTCTCTTTTTGTTACCTGATCTGGGAACAAGAGCAAGGCTGAAGGACACAGAGGAGGGGTGCACTGACAAGTCCCCCTGGCATGGGGAGGGAACAGAGAGGCCCGGATCGGCCGGGAAGAAGCCCGACCCTGTGCTACTGGCCTCTGGGAGGCTCTGCTTCCGGCCAGCCGGGAGGCGATAAGCCAGGGGCAGGTGAATCGCTGCCAGGTAGGTGCATCTGTGCTGCGGGAGCCCAGGGCCTTCTGCCAGTGGGACAGGTAGGGCCAAGAGCTCACCCCTCACGGCCGCCCAGTGGTGTCTGATTTCAGGAAAGTAAGTTTAGTGGCAGTAGAAGGACACAAGGGCGTGACACAAGGTGGGGCCAGGAGCCGGCCTGGAGGAGAGGGAGATCCTTACTGTAGATGCCAGGCCTGTGTCCCCGGAAGCCAGTGTATGGAGTGCTCGGGTGGGGGGCCCGGGCCAGGTGGGGACAGACAGGGCAGGTGGAAGAGGTTCTGAGCACGAGCCATGAAAACTCCAAAGGAAAAGAACCAAAGCCAAACCCCAGGCTGGGGGGGCGGGTGGAGGCCCAGGATGAAGTCTCCAAGGGCTGTGGACTGCTAGGGATCCACGGGCTTTCTGGCAGTCAGAGCCTGGGGATGCACCGGGGACACCATGTGACAGGCCAGGCGGAGACCCACACTCGGCTCCGGCCTCAGGTAAATGAGAAAACCCCCGCTCCAAGGTGAGATGCCTTTGGGGTGATTCTCGTCAATGAGACACTCATGTAGCACCCCACAACCGCACCAGAACCCCCTCTGCCAAAGACGCAGATCTAAGCAATGAGAAAACCAGCCACTCCCACACCAATCTCTAGGGAGACAGAGTCTGGCCCAGTGGGCACGGGGTAGGGGGAGCAGCGTCTTTGTGAATCAGCACAGCCTCACAAGGTCTTGGGCACCGTTTGCTAAGGAACTTGCTGAATTACAGACTTCCTTCCTGGGAGCTGGGGTGGGGGGATACAAAGGGTTGTAGGCGGCAGCCCAGTGCGCTGCTGGGTGGAGGACCTTGGCCTGGTTCTCAGCCTCCCCTTCCAGGCGGCTCTGGGTCCCAGGGACCCCCTCCAGGCCATTGTCCCTGGGACCCTTGGTCTCTCTGCACCCTGTGGCTTGTGGGGCTCTTTTCCCTCTGCATACACTCCCCATCTGCCACTTCCCTTGGGTCCGAGAGATTCCCAAACCACCAAGGCCCAGTGGTTTAGTAACTTGGGCAGCGGTGGCACAGAAAGTGGGACCATGGCAGGAAGGACCTCAGGCAGCCGTTCCTGGCGACAAGCAGTAGAAGAACCAGGGGTGACAGTGCCAAGTGCACAGGGACAGATTCGACAAGAACAGCTAGCTGCAAATCAGAGGATACACTTAGAAAGGGACCCAGGCCCAGCCTGACTGCATGGATCCCTTGGATCTTCCCACGCAGACAGCAGTACTTTCTCCTGAGCAGGACAGTGCCCACAGGTAGGTGGGTCCCCACAGTCCTCCGCTGGCTCAGCAACGCTGTGCATAAGCCCACAGGCAGAGGTTACCCTTCTCTCAGCCCCTCAGGCACCCTCATCACCACTGCTCTCTCTGGAGCCTCCACAGCAGACATCAATAATCCATTACCAAGCTCCTGCCCAAAGAGCCATAGCTTCTCCTTCCCAGCCCAATCCATCCATCTCGTCCTCACCCAAAGGAAACCGAGGCACCTTGGAGCCAGAAGCACCTAGACTACCAGCTCTCTTCTCCTGGTACCCGACAACCAGGCCAGCCGCCGAGCCAGCCTCTGCACACACAGCCAAGGAGCCGTGCAGGAGCCCCGCGCCCCCACAGCGCCCCCACAGACCCTTCCCGAGCACCGAGTCGCAAGAATCCAGGCCCAGCCACCTACCTGAAGGAGCCAGTAGCACCTCCGGTGAAAGGTGGGGATGATGGAGGAATGGACATAGCAGCCGTACAAGCACTAGGGAGAGAGGAAAAACGAGAATTCAGTTGGAAAGAGGGAAGTGGGGGAGAAGGAAGATGGCGCAACAGGAAGGAGCAAGAAGGGCCAGGGCCGCTGCCCGCGGACGCAGGCACCGAGACTCGGGTTCAGGGACAGTTTAAGAAGCACCACACAGGTGGGGACCTGCAGACGGGCAGCTGCTGCCCTGCCCACTGGGGGCCTGAAGGCACCAGAGAGTCCAGGACAGCCAAGAACCAGGGAGTGCACCACACACAGCTCGTTTCTAAGCTGGCTGAGTCCCTTGGTGTACAGGAAGGACTGAAGCTTACAGAATGGCGCAAACACACAAAACACACCTACCCAGGACTTTCCTGGACAGGCGGCCCCAGCTGATGGGAGCCCAGGCGGATGGGGACAGGCCTGCGGCAGCACGAAGGGTGCCCCACGTTTTGCTTTTGAATGACTATTTATTCACATATCTGTTCATTTGCTATTTAAGATATAACCCTTCATCTAGTCCAGAGGGAGTTGGTTTTACAAAACAGCTAGAAGGGTGGGATGGGAGGAAAACGTAATCAGGAACTCAGGCTCCAGAAGTGGGAGTGCGGTGGCCGTGTGGGAGAGATAGTGCTCAGGGCCTTGCACATTTGCCCAGGCGGATGGAGTTGACTGCACTGCTGCCCTGCTTCTGGGGGCCGCACTGGGGGCACAGGCTGGCTGATGAGATGGGGAGGGGCTTAAGGGTAACAATTGATTTGGTCCCTCCAGAAACCAAACTGGAAAAACAGAGGACCCAGGTGCAGGTGGCCATCAACTCAGAGAGGTGACCAATCCTGGGTGACCAATGATGGGGCCCACAGCAAAGCCAGGACCAAAGCCTCCAGCTACAGAGTCGCCCTGGCCTCTCACAGGACATGGAGTGGGGAAAGGGCTCCTGTCCCTGTCCCTGTGCCTTTGTTCATTTAAACCTCACAGTAGCCCCCTGTGGGGACAATGGCCAGCACCTTGCATCTGAGGCTTTCACCAGATTTTATTCCCCCCACAAAAAGACCAAGTGCCATTTGGTTCCACTCAGTGTCCTTTGGAGCCCTGCCTGTCTGATTAGCAGAGTTGCAAGAGAAATCATTTTGGACTCTGGGATTTTGGCTGTAAGAAAATCAGATTTCCAATATGTTAGAACTTTTACAGATCGCTGTCAGCTGGGATTTAAGCCCTGTACAAACCAAACAAACAAAGCAGAAATTAATTTAAACGATTCCCTTGCAATTCTTGCCCACGAAATGTATTTATTATTAAGAAGGCAATATTCTCCCCCGACTTTGCGTTTTGTTTCTGTGGTTTTATATTCTGTTTTTGTGTTTGATAACTCATTCCTTGCCAAAAGAGACACCTGTCTGGACATTTTCTGGAAGCACCATCTACAGTGAACTTGCACTCTCGGTGACTTCTGTCTGCTCTTTCCCTCGGGTTGCTGAGCGGGTCTCCTCCTGTCCCTCTGAGACAGAGGGCTGCTCCTCCCCAGGTTTATCCCTCCACAGACCCCAAAGGAACATGCTTGGTTTCCAAAGTTGTTTCTCCTGATTCCCTGCTGATTGGTCTGGGTCCGGCTCCAGCGTCCCGGGGCTCAGGATCAGGATCTGCAAGGAGTTGCCAACACCCCCTGCCAGCCCCTGTAGCACAGAAGCAGCCACTGGCGGGGCTGCTCTCCCTGAACACCCAGTGCCTGTCTGGCTGCCTGCCTGGCAAGTGCTCGAATCGTCCCGTAAGCAAAAGGGAGGTAAAAAGAAAAATGGTGGTGTCGGCACCACGGCTCATGCATTTTAATCAGAGAAGCCCTCGGGCCTGGCTCAGAACTTCTGAGCTCTATTTTTAGATGTTGTTACTCTAATGCTGTGGTGATCCTGCATTTGGTCTCATCAGATGAGAGGCAGGTGAGGAAGCAGGGCTGGGGCACAGACCCAACCAGCACAGCCATGCAGGGCGTCCAGGGAGGAGGGAGGAGGAAGGAGGCCATCCAGAAGCCCCAGGCCATCGCCCACGCCCGAGTGGCCTTGTTGAGTACTCTGGGTCACCCCTGGTTCTGCCTCCATCTGTCTTCCTGCTGGGGCTCTGAGGTAGGGAGTCCTAGGCTTTGGGAGGAAGACGGGCAATGTGTCCCCCACCTCGAAGCCCCAGCACACTGCTCTGCGTGGCCTGTGGGCAACCAGAAGGACCCGAGAGACTCAGCAGCTCAGGTTTGCTGTGGCAGCCTGCAGGCAAAGGACTTGGGACTCACACTAGAGGACAGTCCTGAAAAATGGCTCCATTTCCCACCAGAGGGCTAAGCCTCCAGTTCAGGGAGGCCATGTGTCCCCTCTCCTGTGATCTGGGGACACCCTGAGAGGTTCCCCAAGTGGTGGGACTGGCTTGGTGGGGGGAGGTCACTCACAGTTCAGAGGCTTCCTGCCCTGCCAGGCTGTGAGATGGGAACGTTTCCCTGGGGGTGGCAGGGAGGGTGGGGAGCTGATGGGAAGTAGGGTGCTGGACTCAGTGCATGTGCAGCCATGTTAGTGGCTGTCACCGAAGCAGGTAGAGGAGCATCAGAGGAGACCTCAAGCATCAAGGATGAGCAGGGTGGCTGGGGCCACAGTAGGGGAAGAGGGCATTTCCGGAAGCAGAAAAAGCTGGTGGTGGAGCGCAGGAAGTGAGGCAGAGCACGGGCCAGCCTACAGGAATGTGACGATACGTCACGGTCTTGCTTGCATTTTGGAAACTCGCTGTATAGCAGTGCGGCCAGGGGACAGGAGCAGAGAAAGGAACGGGTACAGTAACCACCCTGGAGGAGCTTGAGAGCACACTGGGGACAGGTGATGTCACAAGCAGTGAAGATGGACAAAAAGGGACACATTAGCCAGGTGTAAGGAAGATACCCAGCTTTCTGCCAGATAGGCAGGGACACTGGGGTCCCATCCCTGGGGACAGGAACCCGTGGGGTAGAGCTGACAGGAGAGGCTGATCAGGTTTCTGTCTGGTGACTTTGGGGAGGTCAGGAGCATCAGGGTGTGATTCTCAGAACCCATGAGTTGTGTGCCCAGGGCTGGGATGGTGGTCACGAGGGGGACAGTGACAGCAGCCCAGGGAGGGGTCTCTGCCCAGGCTGGTTCCTTCTCGGGAGACATCTCAGAGGGACAGATCAAGCTGGGCACGAACCTGCTGGTCCATCCCCAGAACATGGCAGAGGAAGCCTGGCCTCAGCACAGTCCCTACCTGTTGTCTTTCCCTTCCATCACTGCAAAAGCCCAGACCTGACCCCAGGTCTGCTAACTCCTGTGTCATCACTCCTGCTTTGCAGTCCTCCACCGGGTTCCAGCCTGCATGACAATGTCATTACCAAGCCAACTGGGGCTTAATTTGCACAATATTTCATGAAGCAGTGTATCAAATCCATTCCCTTTACCGCTAATCAAAAAAGCAATCAAATTTGTCTGTAGCGATTTGCATTGTACAAACTCCTGGCGTTTTTTGATCAGGCTCTGGGGTCCCCTGGGGGATCCCTGGGCTGAGCTTTCTATGTGATGGGGCTGAGGAGAGAGCTGGATCCCAGTCTGTGGATTCAGCTGCACGTGGGTGCGTGCGTGCGTGCGTGCGTGTGCACAGGACATGCGGCGATGTGGGCCTTGGGTTTCCTCAACCGTGATGACACAGAGGAAGGGGAAGAGGAAACAGATATTCATAAGAACCCAGGAGAACAGCACCCTTCAACAAAGTGACTTTCAGTTGAGTCACAGTTGGGACTTAAGGCCTGTTAGCATGTGGCTAACAGAAGTCGGGAAGATTCTTCCTGTAAACACTAAGAATCGCTTTTATGAGATTGTGCTGGTTGAGCTTAATTGTCAATTTCATCGGTTCGGGAGCTGCCCGGGGATCTGTAAAGTACGTTTCTGGGTGTGTCTGTGCGGATCATGGAGGGGTGATCTTGGGGACTATATATGGCCCCTTCTTCTCAGCACTGTCCCCCTACTCTGCTTCCTGCCCACTACGAACCAAGCAGCTTTGCTTCACCACACTCTTCCACCGTGCTCCTGCCTTGGAGACAGCCTACCATGGACTGAGCCCCTGAATCCGTAAGCCAAATGAAACTTCTCCTCCTTCAAGTTATAGGCATCAAGTATGATGTTCCTGTGATGGAAAAGTGATTCATTGCAGACACTATGGGGCTTTTTTTTTTTAAACAAAAAAGAAAGATGAAATTACAGGAGAAATCAACAGCCAGCAGGAGCTTCCTTAGTTTACATCAAATGCTTCCCAGGGAGCAAGTGATATTTCTGAGGGCAGCGTCCCCATACACCCTCCTCAAGTGGATTTCTCCACAGCAGACTCAGTGTGCCAGAGAGGGTCCCCCAGGGTGGGCGCCAACAGCCACAATGGGCCAAGGAAGGGGGAAGGGGTTTCATTGATCAGGACATTGGGATTCAACCGGAACAGCTGTTCCCACAGTTCATTGAACAGGGTGAATTCTCTGTTTCTTCCTCTCCCTGCTCCCGCCTCTGCCTCCATGTCTCTGTCTTCCTCTCTCGTGTGCACACCCAGTTCTCCCTCCCTTCTCCAGCTTGCTCCCTCCAGGACCCAGCCCTACGGAGAGGCCTGAGCTGAGCCTGGTTCGTGCCAGGCGCCCTGGAGGAGCAGAGGGAGCCCAGACAATTCTGCTGGCCACAAGCTTGGCCCTGATGATGCCGCTGTGGACATTCGACAAGAAGCTGACTCAGAGGGCCCAAAGGCCTGGTGCACCCCTCACCTTGGCCTGGCCTCAACTGGGGCCTCCCAGGACAGCCACTGTCCCTCTGCGTCTGTTCCTCAGGTCTCCTCCAGGAGGCTGTCCTGCTCCAGCCCTCTGGTCAGAGTCCCCAGAAACAGCCCACCAGGAAAGGAATGGATGCTGGCGGTGGTACACACCTAGGGGTGGGTTTGGCTGGGGAACTATACACATCTGACTGCTCCAATCTGCCTTTAAATGACAGCAAGTGACTGTGGCTGTGTGC